ATGGGGCGGAGTTAGGGCGGGGACTTTGGGGATGGGGTTGGAATGGGGGTGGGGCCAGGGGCGGAGATGGGGTGGAGTCGGGACAGGGGCAGGGAAAGGGGCGGGGGGGCACAGGCACCCACCAACACCAGAGCAAGTTGGCACTATGGTTGACGGGGAAGCATCAACAGTTGACCTATCACAGTGAAGACATCGCGGTAAGTAGGTCTAAGTATGTCAACTTCAGCTATGTTATTTACATAGCTGAAGTTGCGTAACTTAGATTGATTCCCCCTCCAGTGTAGACCAGGCCTAAGTATTGCAGCACAGAGCTCGCAACACAGGGAGGTGGGGGAGACACGAAGGTGGCTTTAGCCCTGCCGATTCTGGGCTGCTGCAGGGATCAGAGCAGATCCCAGTGTAATTTAGACAGCTCTGGCAATAGACAATACACTCCAGAAATCCTGGCAAGGAACAGTTATGTAGGATTCATTATCTGCCAGCACAAGTTAAAGAATCCTTGTGCTAGAAGCCAGCTCAGCCCCCAGCAGTCTCAAAGTTTATAGAGGAGGAAGACTGGCATTTGTGCCCGGACAGCTCCCCAGGTGCCTTGGCTGCTGCTCTGGCGCATCTGGGAATCTGTCTCTGTTTTCCCTTTAAAGACTGACAGCAAAATTAGTCACTATGTTGCAGGCTGGCTGGCCCTTTAAGGCAAGCTGGGCTCAGCCTCGGCCAGGACTTAGCGGCTATCCCTCACCCTCACCGAGGAGCTGGCAACATAAAGGCCAATTGGAGAACCCAGCTGGGTGTAATGGGGCTTAATTAGAAAGACTGACCCCAGCTGTAGTGATGAAGCAGGGAGAGCACAATTTTAAATAGAGGGGGGAACTGGGAGTGGACGACAGGGGATGTATCCCTTGATGATTGCCTGTTCTGGGCATTCCCTCTGGAGCATCTGCCATTGACCACTGCCAGAAGATAGGAGTCTGGACTAGACAGACCATTGGTCTGACCTAGTATGGATGTTCTTATGTGCTTAATTTGGAGAAGGAAGAGCCTGGAGAGAGAAACAAGGATAGTTCTCCTCTGGGAAGCGCCTGAGGAAGTCAGGCTGAATCAACCACTAGGAGCAGGGTAGGCTCCAGTGGGAGAGAGCCGTGAGTTAGGGCCTGCAACAGGAGAAAGAGACCCACAGGGAGTGGAGTAGACTCCTGTGAGGGAGTCCTGAGATAGGGCCTACAAGGAGCAGGGAGATCCTTGGAGGCACAATGCTGGAGTTCCTGGTGAAGGAAGAGAAGCTCTGAAGGGGCCGGGAAGCACAGGGTTTCAGCCAAGCCTGAGAAGGGCAGAAGAACTATAAAGGTTGACCTTATTTGAACTTTAAGTTGGACCTTTATTCTCCCCTTAAGAGGACTGAATGATTATGAGATTTGGCCAGAGGGGATCAGGAGAAGATGCTAGCTAGGACTGGCCACTGTGGGGCTAAGGAAATACGAGCGGGAAATCCCCTGCAATGCTATGTCCAGGCATGAGGGGGCCACATTAAAACATTTCCTCAATTAAGAGTTTTTCTCTGACTATACATAAAGAAGGAGAGACACATACCCTGGCACTTTGTCTTTTAGCTTTCTTCTCCTCATCAGGAAGTGGAGGCATCGGGTATGGGTATTTTCTGCTGGAGGCAATAGACCCAGTAGAGGAAGATGGAGACTTTGCAGGAGACAGAGTCCTGAGATGTTGAAACACACAAAATAAATGTGATGTCTTTGGGCACCGGCACTTCAACTGCAAGTACTTGGAAGCTTGATTCAAAATGTAAATGCATACTTTAGGAACTCAGTATTAGAAAAAAATTGATCAGTACTCTAAATATTAAATTATTATAAATAAAAATCACTCCGATGCTTACAGCTTTCATTCATACTGGAAGGAAAACTTAAGGTGGCTGCTTATCTTTCATTAGTGTACTTTCCCATAAACAGTTTCTTAAACTATATTCCATAGCATTTTATCTTATCATTATAAAGTTAACAAACCAAGTCACCTATAGAATAAATAGAGAACTAAAACACAGAAAGGACACTGACCTTTAAATATAAACAATGCTAGTATAATCACAACCAGTGAGTCAATAAATGACAATAGCTAGTGGTCTTTTAAATAACTTTTATACATTCCAGTGCTAAAATACAAACACAGCAGATAAACTACTATTTATAGAGAAGATATTAATTTACATAAAATGCATGCACTTGGAGGCCAAACTGTTAGTTGTGAAGAAACAAAGGCAAATACAAAGTGCTAACAACAAATTATTAGACATGCAAGCGTCAAACAGTGCATAGTGTTCCAGCCAAAGAAAGAGTCTCATGAGAATATACAAAAATGAACTGATTAGTCTACCGCAATCAGCATTTCTGTACAAGGTGAGCAGAGTAAGCAGGAGCAAGTCAATGTTTGTATCACATGAAAGGCATTCTTTTTACGTCAATAAGGTGGCAGGACTTTATTGACTGGAATTTTACACATGGGAAAATCTCTGACACATCCCTTTTGAGATTCTGCACTTTTATCCAATGAGAGGATCCTATGAGGCTCCATCTGTGGATAATAGAGAAGAAAAAAAAAACTGGAAGTAGAAAATCTAAATTACCCTATCTTGTTAGTTTCATTTTGCAGACAGAAGGCCAAACTTTGACAAGGGGCCTCCATATGGCTGCCATTAGCGGCTATCCCTCATGTCCCTCACACACTTTTTGAGCACTTTTACCTACATGCTCCAATTCTAGGATGTGCTTGAGGAAAATGTTGCCATTCAGTTTGTGCATGCACATTCTCAACCACTGCACACATAGCAAGAGACTGCAGTCGTGAGATACATTAACATCACAGTCATCAGGAGCTCAAATCAAACAGGACTACTCATTGTAGTCAATACAATGCCCAGTAGTAAGTTTTTGTAGGGTTGGGCCCTTATATACTAGTGTAGGCTCAGAAAAAAGCTAAGGGCTCTTAGTGATGAAAACTTTGCTCTCCGTTATGTTTAATAGCAACTCATTTAAATATAAAGAGTTTTTTAAAAAAATTTTAGTCTAGTACATTGTCATGATTGTGTCTGCGATGGCCTATAACTGTACGCTCTTGTTTCCCCTACAAACAATGGCTGATCGTAGTTATGACCAGCAAGGTGTCAATGGAAATTACATGGGAGCTTGTGACAGGTGTGAAATTAATGTAATCAGTGTACATGTACTGTACTTCTAAAGTCCTGTGCTGTAATCTCTCAAATGTCATACTAGTTT